ACACACACACACACACACACACACACACACACACACACACACACACACGATAGAGATGATAATTCCTCAGTACTCTGACAAACCTGACTTAGGGAGTTAACTGCCAGTGCTTTGGACAATCAGTTCTTGTTAGATGTGCTCCCTGTCTGTCTGTCGAGACAGAGAGAAGCCTCTCCCTCTCTCCCTGTCCTTCCCTCCCAGCTCTCTCTCTGTATAAATTTGTGTATTCACATGCCTGTGTGTACATGGGAGTGTTGTGTCTTGCTCAAGTGATGACCATGTTTTTAAAACTGAGTTTCTCACTGAGCTTTTGAGCCAGGGATCTACCTACTTCAGCTTCTTCAGTGCTAAGGTTAGGGTTGTGTTGACACCTCTAGGTTTTTTACAACGGATGTTAGCAATTTGGATTTCAGTTTTCCTGCCTGTTCTGCACGCATTCTACCATCAGAGCTGTCTCCCAAACCCAGCACCACAGCACTGTTTTTCTGTCCTGGATTATCATGGCACAGTTCCATTGCATGGAAACATACTCCACTCTTAAGATTCATCCCATGAAATGCATGTTAGACATCATGTAGATTTTTAGTGGTTTAGATAATGATGACTTGGGGACCCAAACTCAAGTCCTCATGCTTGTACAGAGAGTATGGTACCAACTGAGTCACTTCCCAGCCAGATCCATCCCATCAATATAATTTAATTAAGCTGTCCCATGTAGTGTATGCTATATTGTATAAGAAGCTTCAGAACTGCTCAGTCTTCTCATAGAAATGCACACAGGGACAGATAGAGTCAACATTGCTTATAGACGGTCAGATATAAAACACTACTATGATAAGTTTAAATTCCATCCATGCTGAGGCATTAAATAATGAAACCCACACAAAATGGTGGGCAAACAATTTCAAATTTAGAGGATTAAGAATTTTTTAAAAATTTTAATAGAAATAGATTTTTTTCTGATAAATTAATCTAAATATATTCCCATCAGTGGAGTGTCCAATCTAAAAGTCAATGTTTGAACAAAGAAACTGTTAAGTGCACAGGATGCTAAGACAATTCATGTGTTACAGGTATCCATGCGATCATTCTAACGTAATCATCTGTGCCCCTCTTAGAGATGGATCCTATTTATAATTACCAAATTGCTAAAAAAAAAAAAAAGTGACCAAAGGCAAACATGATTTGGAAGTCATGATTATAATTCTTGTGCAGATTACTGACTAACTGTCAAATAATTACCAAACTTGAATGAGATTCTCCATATTTGTATGATTTGGTGACTATTTTTCCCTGAACAGTAAACTTTCTTTCTTTCTTTTCTTTCTTTTTTTTTTTTATTTCTCAAGACAGGGTTTCTCTGTATAGCCCTGGCTGTCCTGGAACTCACTCTGTAGACCAGGCTGGTCTCGAACTCAGAAATCCGCCTGCCTCTGCCTCCCAAGAGCTGGGATTAAAGGCGTGCGCCACCACCACCCTGCTTAACAGCAAACTTTCTATAGAGGATTCACTTATTATTCCTAATATTGTCAACTGATAGTACTTTTATAAAAGAAAATGTGGACATTTATTAGTTTGGATACTGTTCTGTGGAAACAGCATATTCCTGGGAAGCCCAGGATGGTCTCAAATTTAATCATGTAGCACAAGCTGTCATCTAACTTGCAATACTCTCAACTCAGCCTACATGGCTGGTTTCCTCTGTACACTAAAGTCATATTTATTTTTCTACGTTTTTGCATAGTAGAACCAAAGACTATAAATAAATATTCAATTATAAACATTTCATTAATGGAAATATATAGTAGCTTTTAAGTGAGCATTTCCTATTTTCTTCAAGGACAGCCAAACCTGTTATAGTGGGTGCACCCCTGCGTCTCACGTAATTTACGTATGCACAAAGACAATGGAGAGTATCTTTTTCAGAATGCTTTCCTTTGCCATAAATCTTTTCATATTTTATTTGCCAAAGAGCATTCAAAGAATCCCCAGTTTTCAGAAGACTAGACTGGCATAATTCTTTGTACAATGAGAGAAAAAAAACCAGAATTTTACTTTTACTGAGCACATTTATGAGATGTATTTTTGGGGAGGAAAAAAAATAGCTGAAGTAAAATCCTTTTACATACTGTGTCCTTCTTTCTATAAATATAATAGAATTGTTTCCATTCGATGCAAAAATTGTGGCTTCTTTTATATTTTAATTTTTTTGAATATTTTATTTACATTTCAGATGTTATCCCCTTACCCCATTTCCCTCTTACCCAGGAACCCCCTATACCATCCCCCCTCCTCCTGTTCTATGAGGATGTGTCCCCGCCACACACACACACTCCTACCTCCTTACCCTGGAATTCCTCAACAATCGGCGTGCAGCCTTCATGGGACCAAGGATTTCCTCTCCCACCTATGCTCAACAAGGCCATCCTCCCCTACATATACAGCTGGAGCCATGGGTCCCTCCCTAAGTGCTCCCAGGCTGGTGGTTTAGATCCTGGGAGCTCTGGTTGGTTGGTATTGTTGCTCTCCTCGTGGAGCCGCAAACCCTTTCAGCTCCTTCAGTCTTCTCTCTCACTCCTCCACTGGGAACCCCATGATCACTTCAATAGCTAGTTGTGAGCATCTGCCTCTGAATATGTCAGACTCTGGCAGACCTCTAAGGAGACAGGTATATCAGGCTCCTGTCAGCATGCACTTCCTGACTTCCACATCAGCATCTACCTTTGGTGACCGCACATGGGATGGATACCCAGGTGGAACAGTCTCCAGACGGCCCCTCCTTCAGTTTCTGTCCCTCACAATACATCATTTCTAAATGTGAGATTATACT